ACAAATGCTTTCATACAAAAACAGACACCAATATACTTATGTTCTCACCAGCTTTAAAGCTGATAAACTCTTTCAAAATAACTTGTATTCTCAGGTCGCCACTAGACAGGTACCGGAGCCAGGTGTTTGAGAAGATGGAGCTCGTTCAAGACTCATCTTATATTTTTGTTGCATATTGTTTTGGTGTCTTTAAAACTTGAAAGAACACACTTGTATAAAATTATATTATTAATGCAATGGATGATGTTGTTGCTTGTTTACTACTTGCATTGTTATGATACTGTACATGACGTCCTCCACCCCAGAACGTTTCCGCCGTTCACCGGTTTTGGGGGTGTGACACCTTCTGACCAAGAGCGCTAAATTTCTAGCCATTCGAGAGAGTTCTTCGGCTGAGAAATTGTCGATTTGTATGTAAGTAAGATTGTTGCTCAACATGGTATTCCAGTCTCCATTGTATCTGATCGAGATGTTCAGTTCACATCTCGTTTTTTGGTAGAAGTTCCACTAGGAACTGGGTACGAGGTTGCACTTTGGCACTGCTTATCATCCGCAGACCGACGGTCAGAGTGAGCGGACCATTCATACACCGGAGGACATGTTGAGAGCTTGTGTCATAGATTTTGGTGGAATTTGGGACTCCTACCTCCCCTTAGTTGAGTTTTCTTACAACAACTATCATTCTAGCATTGGTGCACCGCCTTTTGAGCTTCTCTATGAGAGGAAGTGTCGCACCCCAGTATGTTGGGGCGAGGTCGGTCACAGGGTCATAGGAAGAAATGAGGTAGTCCTTCATATGATAGAGCTTATTCAACAAATTAGATAGAGATTGAAGACCGCCTAGAGTCGACTGAAGAACTATGCTAATAGGCGTCGATCTGAGTTGGAGTTCTAGGTCGGGGACATGGTCTTACTGAAGGTATCACCATGGAAGGTTGTAATATGCTTCAGGAATAGGGGCAAGTTGGGGCCCCGATATATTGGGCCATTTCGGGTGATAGCTAGGGTTGTCAAGGTAGCGTACGGATTGGATTTTCCTAAGGAGCTTAGCCAGATCCACAACACCTTCCATGTGTCTCAGCTTCAAAAGTGTGTGGATGATGATTCCGCAATGGTTCCTTTGGGGGATATTCAGGTGGATGAACGCTTGAATTACACTTAGAGACCATTGGCGATCCTCAACCGGAAGACGAAGACCTTGCGAAACAAGGTGGTGAGTTTAGTGAAGCTGTAATGGTTGCACCGAAAGGGTTCAAAATGGACGTGGGAGCATGAGGAGGAGAGAAGGAGCATTATCCCAAGTTATTTGCAACAACACACTTTGAGGACGAAGTTTGATTCTAGTGGGGGATAATTGTAAAACTCGGGTCTTGGAGGTACTTCTTATTTTTTTTAATTATAGCTTTTGGAAGATGGTCACAACGTGAGACATGGTGGTCACGTTGTGAGTGTCCATTGACCAGTTGACCCACGTTTTTGAGCCTCACGACGTGAGAATGGTCTGATGACCAAAACCCAAATATTTTGGGTTTTTAATTGAATGAAAGGGACAAGGTTGCCCATACCTAGCCACCCTCATTCTCTTGCCTCCTGGAAACCCTAATTCCGGCCTTCTTGAAGCCCTTAGACATTTTTTTGATCTTTAAAGCATTATTTGGTGGGTTTTGACTCATTGAAGTGGAAGAAGACCTTGGTGGAGCAACCTATTGGCCATCCAACTTCTACCTTACATTCTTCTTGAGCTTTTGGACCATTGTAAGTCATAAAAGCTATAAACTTTTTTACCTCTTGCATGCTAGATCCAAGTTTTAAGATCCTATTTGCATGGTTGTGAAGGATTGCATGCATCGGATCCACAAAGTTGGAAAATTTATGGATCATTGAGTCATTCTCAAGGATATGATCTTTAGATATGAGATTTGATGTAGTGTGAGACTCCAAGCATGAGTCTAGATCTCATTTTTCCCTCTTTTGACCTAGTGAGTGTTTGAGTCATGCATTGGACATGCATGACTAAAAAGATATGATTCTTATCATCCTTTGGGTGAGGGAATACCCTTTGGAAAGTCCCAAGTTATGGCTGTAAGGAATAAGAGCTTAATGCTCAAAGCTGGCCAGTGCAACGCTCATGACATGAGGATTAAGCATGTCACGTCCTGAGGATGCTTACCATCCCGACTGTTTTGTCCGGATTAGATCACGACGTGATGCAGGAATAGGTCACGACATGCCAATGTTTGGAATCAGATTGATAGGATGAGTTGACCCACTGAGTTGGGACCGGGTCGAGTTGATGCTCACAACGTGACCACGAACTGGTTAAGCCGTGAGGATCAGCTGTTGGAGTTTGGACTGATGACTTGAGGCCATTTTGGAACATTTGGGTCTTAGGGTTCTCTAGCTTGGACTTGGTCCAATATTGGGCCTCATGACTGTGGGCTTAACCTTAGAAAGTAACTAGGGTGGTATTGATTGTGTTCTGCATGAGGAACCACTGTGCAGCGAACTTGGGTGTGAGACTTGCTATCTTTTGATTGAGGTGAGTTTTCCTCACTGTACTTTTGGGTCGAAGGCACCAATGCCGACCTGGTAGATTATGCATCCTGGTTAGGATGTTGCTATGATGTAGTGATCTTTTAAGATCTGCATGATTATTTGTTGCTGCTATATGTTTATCTGTTATGTATACATCGACATTGTATGGTTGGGTTGAGGTAGTACTGCTTTGTGCGGTAGCCAACAAACTCGGGAGCAAGCCATATATAAGTTGTGGGCCTGAAGGGCAAGCTAGACTTATGATGTGGGCTCAAGAGCAGGCCAAATATGAGCCGTGGGCCTGAAAGGCAAGCCAGACTCATACTATGGGCTCAGGGGTAATCCAGTCTGTTAGTTGTGGACCCAATATATGATGTTATATGTTATGTCTATTGGTACTTGAGGGAATTCACTAAGCTTTGGCTTATAATTTCAGTTTATTGTTTCAGGTACTTCAGATGACCGTGGCAAGGCGAAGGCGTAACCATGCACATCCTTTGGATTTTATGTTGTTTCGATTTTGGGATACTCTGATTACTAAATTACAGTTTTGAAACAATGGTTTTGTAAACATTTATGGTTATGAGTTGTTTTTGAAAAGTTAAAATTTATTGTGATTTTTGGGGTGTTACAAGTTGGTAGCAGAGTCTTGGTTTGAGAGAATTGGAGGATCATTCGTGTGAATTCAGACTCAAACTAAGGAGCTGCAAAAGTTTTAAAACGGTTTTCAAAAAATGTTTTCAAAAGTGACCAAGGAAGGATGTGTCGTGTACGATCATCCGGAGCCAGAAAGTGTACCCCAAGTTGCCACGCTATTATTTGATGTAATGTTTATGATAGAACAACATGCTAGTGATAGGCTAGGGATCTTCAAGAATTGCATGATAGAATTGCCTGATATATATAATGGATGATAGCATAGGGTTACTTGTACGGAATTGACATCATTACTGTAGTGGTATGTTGGTTAGAGTACTAGTAGGCTGGTTATCGTTTAAAGGAGCGCCTTAGGGGATGTAGGTAGTCATCTAGGATATTCTGAGAACTCTTGATCTAGGCTTTCTTACCTGTTACTCGTCTAGTTGTGGCTCCAGAGTAGGATCATCTGTTTAGGTGGCTATCTTACCTCTAGTTACATATGGATATGTATTCCTCGGAGGTGTACCGTTAGCAGAGCAATGTGTTGTGAGTGGTTTAGTAGGCGGTAGTGAACTGTATGAGTGATAGTTGCATGTATTTATGTGGCTAATTGATCTCTTGTTGTTTATATGTTGACATATTGTGGTGGATGAGGTTGAGGCGGTCATGCTGCGTGTTGTAGACCAAGATACCAGGTGCGGGCCAACTATAAGCCGTAGGCACGGAGGGTCGGGAAGAGCGGTTAGGTTAAGGTGGCATGCCAACATACCTGGGGGTAATCCAATCTGATGACTCTGGACCCAATACGCATGCTAGTATGTTGTTGTATGGGGTATTTTAGGGGAAACTCACTAAGATTTATGCTTACCCAGTTCCTATTGTTTTTTAGGTATCACCGGTTTGTGGGAAGGCGAATGTATTTACACATCCATCCGCGTCAATGAAGATTTCACATTTACTACAATACTCTAATTTTAACAATGTACTATGGAACAAATGATTTTCTTAACTTGTATTAAAAAAATGAGTAGTTTTACCTTAAGTAAAAATGAAAATTTTTGATGTGAAAATGAGACGTTACACTTAGCTCGATTTTAAATTTTAATTTTTTGGTATGAAAAATTTCGAGACAGGCCCATGTCCTGACAGTGGGCGACCCGAACGACCACCCAGGGATCATAATCCTAGGGGGCCAAAAAATTAAAATATGTTATATGTGCTTTTAAGGGAAAATGACTTATTAAGGTAACTAACTATTTGATATGTTTACATCTAAGTAAGATTTGTTTTTTTTTACTCATTTACCCAACTAACCTGTTTCATAAGTTCAAAAATACCAATTATTATTGAAAAACACCAGTTTTTGCCGGTTACATCGATTTAGGTCAATTAAAATGTATTTTTTGGATTCTTACGTGGCTGTTACACCCCCTCCTAAATTAATTAGGGTTCGTCTACTCCAAAAACACTTCGATTAACAGCTTGGGAGAAATCAATACAACAAATAGAAGGTGAATTTGAAGATTCGAGTTGAAGTCGACTGTAACATGGCATCCCAATCATCTGCATGTATGTATGTTCCTATACATTTTCATTACAAGGGGTTATTTGCGCCAAAGTCGTTGGTATACTTGGACCAGGTAAAAAAAACAATTCGTGATGTGGATTTTGGTGGATTTACGTATTTCTTTTGTGGTTTACGAAGTTAACCGAAGGAGACTGTGATAAGGTCTACTACTGTAATAGAAAGGAATGCTTGGATGAGGGTATTAGAAGAATCAACAGTGATGTTGATTATTGGGAGTTTTTAGAAGTTGTTTATAGTGATGTGGATTTACATTGATCACCAAAATGAACCAATTCTCGATTGGGCTGATAACGAGGTTTTAGTAGATGATATAAGTGATGATAATGAGTATGAATTGGATGAAGAAGATGACAAGGATTCAAAAATTTCTGATACTATGAAATATGAACATGAACGTGATGAAGAGGTTTATACTTTAGACAAAACTGTTGGAGACAAATTTTTGAACAAACTTTTAGGTAATATAAGTGATGATGACGAAGCCAACAATGGAAAAGATATGGAGGTTGTGTTCCCTGTCCGTGATGAGACCAAGAATGGGATCAAATGGCGCCAGTTGCAGGTATGAAGTTTTCTAACCCATTAGAATTGAAACTATGTGTTACCAACTATGCAGTCAAGAATGGGTAGAATTTATGGTATGATAAAAGTGATAATCAGAGGTTATTGGTAAAATGTTGTAAAGGTAAGAAGAATGAGCAGAATAAAGTTTGTCCCTTTAGGTTGGGGGTTACCTGGATGCCCTCTGAAAAGTCATTCTAGATTAAATCTTTAAATGATAGCCATAATTGCTCAAGAGTCTTTCAGTTTGGGTCCACTGTTACATATAAATGGGTAGCAACTCATTTCATGCGACATATACTACACAAACCAAATATGAGTATAAAGAAATTGAAAGCTAAAGTTAGCAAGAAATTTAATTTGATTGCAAGTATTGGACAGTGCTGAAATGCTAGGAAGTATGCATCTCAGGAGATAGAGGGTTCTTTAAAAGAACATTATGCCAAAACATGGAGCTATGGGGAAGAGATAAAAAGGACTAACCTTGGATCAACAGTGAAGATGGATGTAGATGTCATGCCTGATGGAAGCACTTACTTCTCAAGGTTTTATGTCTGTTAAAGGGTTTGAAGGATGGGTGGATTGAGGTTTGTAGGAGGGTAATTGGATTAGATGGTTGCTTCTTAAAAGGCATATGTAGAGGGCAGTTACTTTCTGCCGTAGGTAGAGATACAAACAACCATATATACCCAATTGCTTGGGCTATGGTTGCAGTGGAAAGTAAAGAAGCATGGAAGTGGTTTATTGACCTTTTGATTGATGACCTTGGAATGGGAGTTGTGCATAGACTAACCCTAATATCAGACCAGCACAAAGTAAGCAATTTATGTTCTCTCTATATTAGTACTACTTAATTTAATGTTAGGGGAGATTACTTGAGGTTGTGAAAGAAAGGGTTCCAGCAACAGAGCATAGGCAATGTGCTAGGCATATACGTGCCAACTTCATGAAAAGATTTAAGGGCCAACAGTTTAGGAAGCTTTTCTGGTATGCTGCTGCAACTACTACCCATGCAAAATTTGAGCAACATATGAATGAAATCAAGAAATTAGAACCTCTAGCCTATGATCATATGGTGGAAAGGGACCCTAAAACTTGGAGTATAACTTTTTTTTATACTGATAGGGCTTGTGATGCATATGAAAATGGTGTATTGAGAGTTTTAACTCAGTCATTGAAACTGCCAGGAAGAGACCACTAATAACCATGTTGGAAGAAATTCGAATTTATGTGATGGAGAGGCTTTATAAACTGAAGAGCAAGGGACAATCTTGGGACTTAATGATATGTCCTTCCATTAGACTGAAGTTGGCCAAGCTTAAGGAACATAAAATGTAAGTGGTTTAATATGTATGTCCTTCAATATGTGTGTCCTTTATCACAATGTCCTTATATATATGCCATTCATTCTGTGTATGTGGGCAGATTTTGGAAAGTTGTACCATCTGGCTATCAACAATTTGAAGTGAGGCTTGGGTACGATGCATATGTTCTAGACCTTGGTAGCAGGACATGTGGATGCAAAGGTTGACAATTAACTGGATACCCTTGTGTACATGCATATGCTTTCATTTCAAACCTCAACTGGGATGCAGAGGACTATGTCTCACCATGGTTTACCACAATAATGTTCTTAAGATGTTATAGTTATACCATTAAGCCACTTAACGGTAGTGACATGTGGCCTCATGTAGATTACATCAAGCCATTTCCACACAAAAGGAGAAGGCTACCAGGAAGACCATCAACAAAAAGAAAAATGGATTAGATTGAGAGAGAAAACCAGGGAAGAAAGCATTCAATCACAAAAAGAGGCTTGGTGATGATATGCAACATATGTAGAGAAATAGGGCATAATAGAACCAAATGTCCTTAAAACCCAAATGAGGAATCATCAAATCCACCATCACAAAAAAAGAAAGCCAAAAAACATGGTATGTGTGGTATATATATGTGGCATAACTTAACATATGTGAAGTTGAATTAACTTTTCAAGTCTTCCAAAACAGGTAAATTAAAGGGTAAATTAGACCATGAAGTTGAAATGGAAAGTGACATTGAATTTGAAATGAAACCTGATAGTGAAGTGGATTCTTTTGAAGGTTAATTTGAAGATGATATACAACTTGAAGGTGAAGATGATATAGAAGTAGACGTTGAAGTCCCAGTTCAAGTTCAACCTGAAGTGCAAGCTGAAGTAGAAGCTGAAGTGCCAGTTCAAGTTCAGGATGAAGTAGAAGCTGAAGTGGCAGTTCAATTTCAAGATGAAGTAGAAGTTGAGTAGAAGCTGAAGTGCCAGTTCAAGGTCAAGGTGCAGTTCAAGTACAATATGAAGTACCAACATTTCAAGTTGTAGTGGGACGGAGGATAAGGAAACCTTCAGAAAGAATTACAAATATTTAGATAAGAAAGAAGTGGGAAGGGAAAGATGGGAGCACTAGTAACAATCCATATGATTTGGATTAGCTTTTGGCATCTTGGACTCTTGTTCCTGTTTTGGCATCTTTGACTAGCATCTTTAACTTTTGGAATCTTTTGGCAGTATTGGATATTTAAGTGTGTAATGTTTAACTTTTCAAACATGTTTTTGGCAGTAATGCATATTTAAATGTGTAATGTTTAACTTTAGCACATCTTTTGTAACAAACTTGTTCCATGGAATCTTTCACCATCTATTCCAATATTTTAGTCATGATACAGTCCAATTCCATTCCATTCGTAATATTTAGAAATCCATTTCCATTTAAATGTTTCATTACAATTCCGTTCCAAGTCCATTCCACTTAACCAATTTTCCATACAATCAAACTTTTCATTCAAAACAATCCAATTCCATTCCATTCTATTCCATTTGTAATATTTAGAATTCCAAATTTTCCATTACAATGCTTCATTACAATATTACAATTCCATTCCACTTAACCAAAACAACATTTTCATTCAGTCGTGGTACATCATCATCCACATAATGCAAAAGGATCCCTAATTCAAACAACATTTTCACATATAAGAAAAACAACACAACCAACACAAATTTATGACTAAACAACTTCCAATTGACTTTCTCCAACTCTTGTCTGTTAACCCAATTGGTGTTCTTCTCTTCTTCGATCTTCAACATACATATACTAATTTCATTCTCTAAGGTACGAAGTTTCCACCAAAGATTGCAATCTTCTTCTGATTTCATCCTCTCATGGCTTCTTCCATCTGTCATCCCTTCATCCTCATCCACCCATTGCCAAAATCCACATCTTGGAATTTTTCCATTCTTCAAGAAATTTTTTAGAAAAATGTTAAATTGAAGGATGAAAAAGCACAAGTTAACAAAAATTCACAAAAAATGATTTATCGGTGAGTTTTGACAAACTCTAAATGGTCTTCCAGGATTGTCGGGGGTCCTTGAAATCTTCACACGAGATGGCCGTTTACAATGACATGGATGATCAGCTTGCAATACGTCTTGTCGTTAGAAAGAAGAAGAAGAAAAAAGATGAGGAAGAAGAAGCCATCGATCGATCTAGGGTTCTTTTGGATCAGTAGTCGAGTAGTCGTTGTATCCTGGACCATTTATATTTTAAACGATGACAAAAACGTATAATGTGACATAGGTGATAAGTACTTCAATGTATTGGCCATGTAGATGACGCATCATCAAAAACCTGTGTTTGCTTGTAATAATGAGTATTTGTGAGCTTATGAAACAAGTTAGTTGGGTAAATAAGTACAAAAAAAATAAATATTATCTAGATGTGAATGTACCAAATAGTTAGTTACTTTAATAAGCCATTTTCTGATGCTTTTAAAGATTACAAAATATAAGTCTTAGCATTAGGGCCCAAAGCCCCAATATAGCCCACTAGATCAAACTTTTCAACAAGGAAGCGGGCGCCTGATTAAAATTTGAGCGGCTAATTCTGTAATTCAAGCGAGTTTAAATCTCTAAACCGAAGTTCGATGTATAGCTATGGATGGTGGGAATCAAAATCGCTTTCTTGAAATGGAACAACAATCAAATTGCTGAATTCTTAATAGGCACTCGTTGCTAGCCTTAAATAGTATTAACTGATGAAGGGAAAGAAAGATGAGTGAATCAAATTCTCATTACTTCGTTAACTACAGAGATTACAAAGAGATTATATACAAAGGTTTACCATACGCCTCTAATGCTAACATACTCTGTTACTAATTAACAAAATACTAACAATAATTAACAATCTAACTAACTAAACTGTTAAATGACATTTATACCCCCAATATCCCCCCTCAAGATGGACATGAAAAAATCGATTTCAAGGCCATCTTGGACATTAAAGGGAACATTTTAGCTCGTGGTAATGGTTTGGTGAATATGTCAGCAAGTTGGAATTGAGTTCTTATGGGAAGAAGTTGAACAGTTTGATCAATGACTTTATCACGGATAAAATGACAATCAATTTCCACATGTTTTGTTCTCTCGTGAAAGGTAGGATTAGAAGCAAATTGGATGGCAGATTCATTGTCACAAAAAATGAGATTTGGCTCATTTTGGTTAACTCCAAAATCACTTAATAAATGTCTTAACCACATTACTTCACATGTGACAACAGCAATTGCCCTGTATTCAGCTTCAGTAGAGGAACGAGCAACTGTATTTTGTTTTTTTGATCGCCATGAAATAAGTGAATCGCCAATGAAAATGCAAAATCCCGTGACAGATCTTCTTGTAAGTTTGCATCCAGCCCAATCAGCATCACTGAAAGCTCTCAACTGTAAAGAAGGAAAAAAAGACCTTGTCCAGAATTGGACTTCAAATACCTCAGCAAATGAGTAGCAGCATGCATGTGATGAGAACGAGGTTGATTAAGATATTGACTCAGACGATGCACTGCATATGTTATGTTTGGTCTGGTGATAGTCAAGTACAACAGTCTGCCAATAAGTCGTCGATATTGAGATTGATCTTCCAATAATTCTCCTTCAAAATTTGAACATTTGTATTTGGGATCCATAGGATGCAAAGTGGGT